AGAGTCGCCAGCCGGTGTAGATGCACCTGCTGAAGTTGCTACGAGCGATGAGACGAAGGAGCCACCTGCGGCACCCAAGTCCAGCAAGAGACGAAAACGAAAGACGCGAAAGAAACTTGAAACAGAAAAGAAGGAAACAAAACCTCTGAGAATCGCGATCCTCCTGTTCAACCCTGTCCCAAGCGACCTCGACGGACGCAGAAGCCAAGTCTGCGGCTTCTTGACTATGTGGTGGGCAACGTGATGTCTATCAATATGGACATTGAGATACCGACGACCTACAAGCAGGCCCGTCGGAGTAAGCATTTGGCTTCAGTGGAAGGCTGCGATGCTTGCTGAACTACAGTCACTGAAACGACGAAAGACATGGAAATTGGTGCCACGCGCGGCAGCCAAGGGCGTCAAGGTTATTACGTGCAGATGGGTGTTTGGTGCTAAGCGTGACGAACGAGGGCGTGTGAAAAGATTAAAAGCTCGTCTCGTGATGCATGGCTTTAAACAACAACTGGGCGTGAACTACAGTGAGACCTACGCACCGGTAATCCGGTTTGAGACGATCCGTGTTGTCATCTACTTCGCCGTTCAACGAGGATGGGAAGTTCTTCAGTACGATGTAAAGACCGCGTTTCTTTATGGGGACCTCGATGAGTTGATCTTCATGGAGCAACCACCAAGCTTTCAAGCTGATGGGCCAGCGTTTGTCTGTAAGCTCTTGAAGAGCCGCTATGGACTTAAGCAAGCACCGAACGTATGGAACCGAGCTCTACATGCCAAGTTGCTGACACTTGGGCTTGAAAGACTGGAGTCGGACTACGGCTTGTACGAGCTGAAGAAAGATGGGGAAGTGACTATGCTCCCAACTGTATACGTGGACGACCTATTGCTAATGGGTCCACGTGAGCTGTGTGCTCGAATTGCAGCCGCGCTGCAAGAAACCTTTGAGCTCACGACGATGGGAGCCGTGAAGTACTTACTAGGTGTGAAGATCTTGATCAACCGACCCAGTCGACAGATTATCAACTGCCAGAAACAGTATGTACTTGAAGTACTGAAACGATTTCACATGGAGACGTGCAATGGGTGTACTACGCCAGCGGCCTTGACACCCTCAAAGGCGACTGTTCCTGCTACGACCGAGTACCTGCCCTACCGAGAGCTGGTTGGTGCGCTTCAGTACCTTGTAAGTGCCTCAAGACCTGACATCGCACACGCAACCAGACATCTCGGGAAATACCTAGCCAGCTACGACCATACTCACTATGCGCAAGCCAAGCGGGTATTGCGCTACCTGCAGGCTACACGTGACTTTGGTCTTGTGATGGATGTTGCGTCAGCAAGTGACCTATGTGTGGGCTGCTATTCGGGTGCTGACTATGCTAATGATCCCGTTGACCGCCGCAGCATCAGTGGATACGTGACGACAATGGACGAAAATGTCGTATCCTATGCATCAAGGAAACAAGAAATCAATGCTCAGAGCACATGTGAAGCTGAATACGCTGCAATGGCTGAAGCTACAAAGGCCTTGCTGCGGCTTGTCGGGCTCTGTCGAGAACTAGCGTGGAAACATGCCATACCTGTACTACTCGGAGATAACCAGGGAGTCATCTCTCTAACGACTAAACCCGGCAAGCACAGCAAGCAAAAACACATTGACAACAAATACAGCATGGCGCGGCGGAACGTGGAACTAAAACGGGTCATTACGCAACACATCGGGACGGAGGACATGGTGGCAGACATCATGACCAAACCACTTGCGGTGGTCAATCTCTCTCAATTCCGGAAGATGCCGAAGGTACTGCCTATTGTGGCAGACAGTGACATGGCCGCCACTGTAAATGAAAAGGCTACATCTGCGTCAGCTGCGATGCATGATACATTGACTGCATCACCTGCAATGCGGTCAAGTACGACGGATTAAGACATTACTGACGACGATGGCATGTAGTGTACCTGTGTGTCGACTGGTTGAACGAGTTCCGTGTGGCTGTACCACAACACTAGCATGCAATCAAATGCGTTGGACTATGGACATGTGCGATTCGAGTGGGAGACTATGCAGCTAGCAAATTACGGTGGTGGTGACTATCGTACGACTATTCTCAGTGGTGTGTGTACGAATGAAGCGATGTGATCGCGTCGATTCGGCACTGCATCGCCGAGATCAAGTGGGAGTGGGAGATGTTATCCTGCTACTGTGAGACGCTATTTGCTACAGTCTGCCAGTGTCCAGTGCCAGACGTCACTGCCACACACCAAGACACTGGCAATACCAGTACTACCGATCCAACCTACAATCCTACGCGTGTCTCTGCATGTCCTGCATTCCGGCGTACCGGTCTGCAGCGCGCTCACGTGCGAGCTGCGTGCGAAAACTACCAAGGACTGTATGAAGGACGACATTGGTGGCGGCGAGCTGCGTGCGGAAGATACCAAGGACTGTATGAAGGACGACATTGGTGGCGGCGAGCAACTGCAACTGCGTTGCAGGTGATGGTGAAATACTTAGATTTCTATAGACCATCTTAGGTTGAGTATGTGCTAATCTAACTTTGCGGAACATGGAGGTTCAGGTGCTGGCAGCTCTCACTCACACAACTGTATTCGCTGCGCTGCACGCACAACGAGTGAGAGGCAGCAAGCACCAGAACTCCGTGGTCTTGTCGTGGTACTTTGCCGGCACTTAGGTGTCTTACATTCTAATTCCTACTTGCTCTACGCCTACTGTCCTACAAGTCTGTGCCAATGGCTCCTACTCTACGTAGTGATAGAAGGTCGGAGAGCCCGGTGACGCGCCATGCGTCATCTCAATATCTGATCACAGGAAGTTCGGTAGCACTTGATTTTACTATGTTATATTTTCCGAACAAGAGTGCTTAACATGCCAAAAACGGCTCATGAATTGATGGACCACGTTATATGTACTTCAACCAGAATGCGCAGGTGGATTAAAATTTAAATTGACCGTCATTTGAAAATGGCATATCGCATAAGAGCGATTAAATCTGAAAGGGAAAAACGTCACAATACTAGTAAAAAATTTGGGAGGTAAAACCTTAAGCTGCTTCAAAATTAATCCTTACTTCGTTTGATGGAGCCTGTGAATAGTGGCAGTACTCAGGGGTTAATGGTAACTTCAAAATCGGTGAAGTTAATATTGTGAAATTATCACCTGTAGACCAGCTAATATAAAAAATATCACCTAATTTTTTTTGAGACAATATGATATTATTAAATATCAACTTAATATTAGTTAATACGATATTATATTTTTTTTAAAGATTGCGTAATCGGGCTAAATTCCCTAATCAAGATGTAGCAAACGCTCGACTAGCTGAAGTATTACTAATCAACCGTGAGAGGGACAATTGTGAGAGTGACGGCAAGGTTGGCGTCGAGTGTTGGCACTGCTGAGCGCATTAATCTAGCGCCACAGGCAGCAGGTTTATTAGACGCACGATGTGGACGAGGAGATCGGTAGAGAACGAGAGCAAATTGTCTTGATTTCGCTCCATCAACGTTAAACAGCTGCAAGCGTTTGCAGTTTTCCATCTCGATCGCCTTTGTCTGTGTCACAGTGAGAACTAGAGCAAATACTCGTCAGTCTTAAAGCCTACTACTTTTCTAGAACCTGATCGAAAAGGTTATTTTGGCTCCGCTCGGTTCACAGAGGGTAAGGTGGCAAGAAACGTACTTAAGTGGGAAATATCATAAAATATCATGTAGTACCTAATATTTTCAGTTCTCCGAGTTAATATTAAAATATTTTTTAGCTTTTGCAAAAATGAGCTACTATTAAAGTTTAATATCGAAAATAGTACTACTACTATCAAAAATATCATATGATATTTGGTTACCTTTAGCCCCTGGCTGTACTACAACTTGCAGGGGTTACTGCACATTGTGCAGTAACCCACGCAATCATTTTGCAACCCAAATCCACAAAATTATCTTTTTGGCTTGCTTCGAAATGAATTTTTACTCCGTTTGATGGAGCTTGTGAAAAGTGGCTATACATGTACAGAAGTCCCTCAAAGTAAGCGTACTACGCTGCGTAGGGGGACGATCTAAGAGGGTGATAAAACAGATGTTTTAAATGTACTGATATTTAGTTAAGAAGCGAGGCGATCTTGCTCCTGTCCGACAGAATGCCTGCGTGCCGCCAGCAGTTCTGAATGGTTTTGGACTTAAAGACCTTCACAATGCGAGCGTCCGTCTCCTCCATTTGGGGGGCTGACGAGCTGCTTGCGCTCCAGCTGACAGGGCTCCATAGCGGCCCAATTAGACTCCCCAGCGATAACATTGCGAGCGGCATCGCGTGAAAGAGATTTTTCCAGCTTGAATGCACGTGTTGCCCACGCTGCGAGCTGTGTGTTGGACAGTTTGCCTTTTGCGCGCATATCCTTCGCATACTTGCACATGGCGATCTTCTGCTCCATATTAAGGCGGATCCGGCGCGGCATGGGGCTGGCGGTCATGGTCGCTTGGAAGAGTGATAGTGTGCATGGAGGGGGGCGTACGGAGCGGGAGCATGAGTTACCTCGTACATTTAATCTCCATTCTCAGTCTTTCAATGGTTTACTTAGCGAAGAGGCCGGACCGGTCTGGAAATGATGGTGATCTTTCCCGCCGATCCTGCAGTTCATCCAAAATCAGTGCATTTTTGTGATTGGCCAGTTGAACCTGTATGTACCGTAGCAGATATGGCGGGGTATTACGTAAGTAGATGACGCTTACTTTGAGGGACTTTTGTACTGTACTACAGCTTGTAGATCAGGCCTTACTGTACATGTAGTCGCAATCATTTTGCAACTCGATATCGGCCAAATCCACAAGTTTATCTTTTTGCGGAAGTAAGATTGGGAACTTATTAATAGTATGTGATGCCACCCACAGTAGACAGCCGAGGCTTTCGTACGAGTGATTCAGTTGACCTCTGTTGCGACTCACTTCGCTATTTACGCTTTGGCACACACTTCGCAATCTCCAGTAGAAGAATGGGTTTTTACGGCGTCGCCACACTGGTCACCGCTGCTATTTTGGCGAGTACTTCTACGTTGGCTGTAGTGGACCCGAACACACCGGACTTCCTGACTTTGTATCAGTCGTCAGCTGCTGTCGAAGGCAACGCCCCCATTCCTAGGCTTCTGAGAAGTGCTATCCAAGTGGACAATGGTGAGGAGAGAGCAGCCTGGATCGAGCAGTTTAAAAACTTGTTCAAGTCGGACGATGCAATTGTAAAGGGATTGATGAGCAAGTCGGAAACCCCTTACGGTGCTCTTGTTTCGCTACCGTCTTACCCCGCATATAAGGCATAGGTGCTGTAAATGAATACAACGCTGCTTGTGTGTTATATTCGTTTAGAAAGCCTATGTGTTGTACAACGAACAAATTGTTTGACTTTGAAGAAGCAAGTCTGTGGGTCCTGGAATATGGCTTGGTCGTTTAGGCTTGACCCTCCTACGCGATCGGCGTGGGTTCAAACCGCCACGCTGTGCTTCTTGCTAAGAGCAGCAAAGCCGTGACCTTTCACGCCTATCCGATAGTCTGCTAGAACAGCGAGTTTCTCGTGGATACTATAGCTACGTCGCTCAGCACTCATGGCTGTGTAAATTATAAAATAAGAGAATTAAAGCCAAGTAACAGCAGCACCGACAAGTTTGTTCAGAAGGGTGGTTGGTTGGGAGCTCTCAAGAATATTTATTGGTTGGTACAGCCTTGTGTTTTACACATGTGTTCTAATTAGGTAGGTGGTCAAATTGAGGTTTAAGCTAGATGTCGAGCGAATCCCGTATTTATTTGGAACACATATGCCTTATATGCGGGGTAAGACGGTAGGCCTTAACAAAGTCGACAATAACGCTCTTTCTGACGCCAAGTTTCGAAGTTGGTTCAAGTACATAACTAAGACCAACAAGAACAACTGGGAAACCGCCACGATTTCGGCTCTCCGAGAGGCGAACACTGACGCAGTCGTGGCCAGTATGATCTTGGCGGGGAAAAACGGGAAGAACAAAGCAGTCGCCAAGAAGCTGGAGCAAGCTCAGTTTAAGGATTGGCTGGACGCTGGTTACTGGCCAGCAGATGTCATCGAAAAAGTCTACAAGCTCGGTCCGGGTACGTGGACTAAAACTGACGCTAGACCAGTCAGGGCGGCATACAAGAAGTACTTTTACAAGATGCGCCCCGAGCTTTTGCCCTAGATCTTGCTATAAGAAGGGGGGGTATATGCCTTAGTGTATTACTACGTAGTACCTGCTTAAATGCACAAACCGCAATGGTGTACTTTGACCTTGATTTCAGCTTGTTGTTCTACTAGAGGGGGATGGTGCCGACTCAAAATAGAAATGCTATACCGGGATAACTGTTCACGTCAGTGTGTATCGCTTTTTCTTTCATTTTGCGCGAGGACATTTACTGACTTATGTCGAGACATCGTAACCTGAAGTGGTAACGCTGAAGTGGTAACGCTGAAGTAGCGGCGTGTGATTGGTCATTAAAATGAAGCTGAAGGCAAAATTTAATTTCTCCCTGTCCCCGGGGTCGACTCGGTGGTGCAGACCGTCGCTAAGAAAAGGAGAGCAAGAACATCGCACGACGCTGCCGCCCAAGTCAACGGAGAGAAACAACAAACACCCGGCAGGGCGACTGAAAGGCTGCCATTTTCAGCACTGAAAATGACGGTCCTTATTGCAGGAGCGAAGATACGACTTTTTAGCGTTATTTGCCTCGCATAAGTGAGAAGGACAGAAATGATGGAAACATACTATTTTCTAGTTATTGATGTTGCCTTTTTGCTTAGGGTTGATAGCAATTGCTGCTGCTTTAGAGGCTTTTATGTTCATTATTGATGCTAGGTTTATCAAAGTAGCGCTTGTCAAAGTTCTACTACATAGTTGCGTGTACAACAAAACTGTTTTCGCCAGTCTTGCACTCTGATGTGGTAATTGTTGCTTCAGCTGTTTTGAGGCCTGAAGGCTAAAGGTTATTCCAATCATACTTTGAGCTGATGCTAAATGGTCTTCTATTTGCCTGTTTAGCCCCCCAAACCCGAGAGCCTGTATGAGACACGATTCCGCAAAAAGCTTAACGTGTCTAAGCTTTTATACGTAAAGTTTGTATAGGACCATACAAATTGTCAGTCAAGAAGGGGTAGGCATTTTTCCCATCTTCCCGCACAGCAGTACATAGCTATGCGTGTGCCTTGAACTTGGTTTTTCTAGAAAATTAGAAGACACAGGTTTGATGGGTATCACACAAATCAGCATAGAGGATTGCAGGTGGAATTCTGCGCCACCCATATCTCGGTCATTCGAGAGTTTTCGCCGCTGCCGCTCAGATGTCCGGGTTCAGAGGCCGATGGCGAGAGCTTCTGAAGGAAGGATGGAAATCAAAGGCCCCTACGGGCCTGTCAAACGACTACACGTACCTTATGCCGGGGAAGACGAAGAAGGACGTACGTGGCGTGGCCTTTTTCGTTGGAGAGGCTGCGTTGATGGCATATTTGGACCGTATCGCCTTGGGTAAGTAGTATCGCCTTTCAAGGTCTTTGTGTGGACTTTAATACGTGTGCTTTTCTAGAGGAGACGAAGAAAGCTAGCGCGGCGAAGCAACAAGCAAAAGCAGCAGCGACTCAACCTACTCCGGAAAGTGGACAGCCTGAAACCGATGTGCCTGATGGACAAGATGGTGCGTTTGATTTTATTGTGTATGTACGTGTTATGATTCTAACGCTATCGTGTATATAGCTGCTGACCGAACTGTCAGTCCAGATCCAGACACGACGAAGACTGTTTGTCCGAAAATTCAGGCTACGTCTCCACACCTGGCAGAGAGTGATTTGGGCAATTCAGCTGGTGATGAAAACGGTAAGCTGTCGAATATCTTGCTCGTACCTGTGAACTACTGCTAACGCTAGCGCACCACTCCCTTATAGGTGCAGACGAGTATCTTAATTGTAGTTTACATGCTGAATTCGATGCTGCTGCTACATCTGGCTCAGAGTATGCCTGCTCTGAGCCTGATAGCGACGGAGAAAGCACGATGCCAGGTGAAGAAGGGCATCCGGCCGCCATACCACCTGAAGAAGTGCAACCAAGCGTCAGCCTTGCACATGGAATCAGAACGATGATGGGTAAGCTTATGGTGTGTATACACGCTAAGGGTACACGTTATGGATTCTTATAGTGTATGTGGATGTAGATGACCCAAACATTATCGCGCCTGGAGATAATCCATCCGATTTTGCAGCACTGGATTCCGATGGTGACAATGAGAATATGTCCATTTACGATGATGATGAGAACTTAGGCTTCGAAGAAGCCGACGCCGTCGTGGAGGATTCTGCTGCTGCTCCTGACTTACTTTTCGAGCCATCTCTACTTGAATCAGTTGGCGGAGTTGGAGCACTTGCGCGCGGTAGTGTACACAAGGATGTTCTAAAAGACATGAAGCTCAATGGATGGAATGGACCTGATACCCAATTGCCTTTTCCCTACATGGACGAGCCGTACGAGGCTCGGACTGATGCATGGCTTACGGAGGACTATCCCAATATTTACAGCGGGGATCACAGGCCTACTGAAAAAGCCCTTTCCGCTGCTTCGACCGCGTTGGGGTCATTCTTCTTGTTTGCACCTTCCCAGCTTTGGGAAGCCATTGCCGGAGCTAGTGACGACTATTTCCTTCACAATTTGGATAAGCGTGCTGGTGCACAGCGTGCAAAGCAACAAGCCCGCCACCGGAAGGACAACAATTTTGAAGTGAAATCGCAAGAACAAATCAAGAAGAATTTATTGGCAACACCTGACATATCTGGAAGAGAGTTTTGTATTTTTATTGGACTACTCATTGCCAGAACAATTGCGCCGAACAAGGAGAATTTGACCACCACTGGAAGACTACCGACGAGGGCGCAATTCCGCGTGGGTGCTTCGGCCATTATATGAAGCGAGATCGGTTTGCTCATCTTACCCGCAGCATGCATTTCAGTCGCAATGATGCTCCTGAGGCAGCGACGGACCGCGCGTGGAAGCTGCGGCCAGTAATCATCGTACTGCAATATACTTTCCAGCGCAGCTTTATACCGCCATCGGTCATGGCGTTTGATGAAGCGATGCTTCCGTCAAGATCGGCTTTCAATCGCATGAGGGTGTACATGAAAGATAAGCCTCACAAATGGGGGACTAAGCTCTTCATGCTGTGCTGTTCTGAGACGGTTTATTGCATCCAGTACGTTTGTGACGCGCCTTCGAGCGCGTTTTTTTTTTGGCTCAAAAGCTGTCTTAACGTGTCTGCTACATGCTTACGCTTTCTTTACCGTGTCTGATACAGTTTCGAGGTTTACTGTGGTAAACGCCAAATGCAAGACGACAGCATTCCACCTGACGAGAAATCCGGCCCTGCTGCAGTGGTGCGAAATCTCCAGCATGTATTTGGCCCCACTGGACCCTCCGACTTTCGACTGGTTGTAACAGATCGGTTTTACACCTCCGTGGTGCTTGCAATGCAACTGCTTACGATGTCTTTCTACATCGTTGGAGCGATTATGATGAGCAAGCAAGGCTTGTGCGAGGCTATCCTACCAGCAAAGTCGAACGCAAGACGCTACAGGAAGTATTACAAGTCGTTGTTCCTAGGCCTTATTGATCTGGCAATTATCAATGCATTTATTGTCTTCAATTGCCGGCGGGTTTAAGATGGTGAACGAAAGCTATCACACGTGCAATATCTCAAACAGCTTCACCTGGAGTTGTGCCAGCTTCAACCTGAAGACTGGCAGCAGCTGCTACGCCACCGAGGGCTTCAGGCGACACGGACAAAAGCTCGAGAAGTCGCCAGACATGTGCCTGTTCAGACCGACGAGTGGCGTAAAGGGAGCGCCACACAAGCTTGGAAACGCCGTCAGCGCGCCTGTAAGGTGTGCTCAGTGCTCAAAGCCGATGGAGAGTTGCGTGGGGGTGAAACTACCTTCTTTTGCGGTGAATGCAGACTGAAAACGTCTTCTTAAAATGCTCTAGCAGCTCGAGTCTTCCTTTGCAACAAAGTGAAGCACTCCGTGAACGGTGTTCCAGCATCGTGCTTCGAGATCTGGCATAAACATTGGGTAAACGGCACATTGATCCCTCAGACACGGAACAAACGCAAGATTCGTGCCCGTAAGCCGAAGAGACCTAGCGATGAGACTGCAGGTGATGCTGAGAACTCCGAGAAGTCGGGCGGTGAATCTGGAAGTGACGGATCATCACGCCAGAAGCGATCCCGCAGAAGTGATGACGTAGTTTAGGCAGGCTCCGGCTCTGATTTTTGACTTGCATTAAATATACTGCACAGCTCACGTATTCCCAGCTGGTTTGTTTTTCTAAATATCGACAAATAAATCAGGCTTGTACTGTATCGTCTTTGCGTACAGGAGACACAATAATAGATATACCATGTACCAGGAAGACACTTTAGGCGAGGAAGACACGATAGCAAAGTTTGGGGTTGGGGGTATGGACCGGCTTTAGTACAGACACGTTAAAATATATCTGGAGTATAATATGGGTGCCCATCTTGCGGATAAACCTTAACGTGTGTAGGTATGTGTGAGATGGTGAGCACCAAATGGCCTCGGGCTTGGGGGGTTAAAGTCATCAGAAAACAAAAAACACGCTACAGATCTTAGAGCGAAGCCTTATCACGTAAAATACTTGAAACGATGTTGTACTCAAGTGTCGTGGGATGGAGTTAACTTTGCATTGTAAAGTGGTGCAAGTTAGTATGAAGAGGCTACTATTGTGAATCAAAGAGATCTTTAAAAAACAACTGGCTTTCAAAACAGTTTTGATGACTTGAGAGTAGAAACTTCCCAAAACTGCAATCAATTCTCCCACCAACATCGACTTATGGATCCGAGCACCAACGCCTTACTGGTGGGACTTCTAAATTTAAGCTGAGGTGTATTGTGTTACTTGCCTGTTGGCATGATCTCTAATCACATTCCTGGTCGACCTATAGCTAACCACGCCATGCCATGGACCAATTTATAGTGTCATAGCATGGCACGCGTGGAAGTGGTAGCCACCCCCAGGACCTGGTATAATTTCTTGGTGCTGTGGGTTGTAAGCGTTTGGATTGATCAGATGTCGTTTTACCGACAGAATCGCTGTAACTAATCTGTGCTACTTTTTCTTGTCAAAACGCGTTGTCGGCCACTGCTATTTGATTGGCTTGCTAATTGCGCTTGTCAAAAAATATTTTGAGAAATCATTGCTGATTCTGCTTACGCTGGAGTAGGAGAATGATACGTAAAAATACGAAGTAACTAAACTGAGATTTTCAGTTGACAATTTCGTTTTACTACAATATTTTTTTCTGCAAGACAATGCCCCGGATATTGCGGTCCGTCCAACGTCTCCGATGCATTCCGTGTGCTCCTTCCGTCTGCGCTCGCTGGCTGCACTGGTATTTCTATAAATACATGTACGTGATCTTCTCGTGTGGCCTGGAAAACGTTCGATTTCTGCACAGCGAGGGGCGGGCAAGCTGTACATCGGCAGCTATGGATTGGCAACGGACATGTTCATCTAGTACAATGGCGGTATGTTCATCGATATGCGACGCGATCGATGGATACATGTATGGCCGCTCGTAACGGGTGGTTTGTTCATCCTTGAATTGCTACACGGGCATGG